GCCTAGCCCTAATGGACTTAGGATTACTGCTAATTTGGGACTCCCAGTGGGATTAGGATAAACTCTTTAAGAGTCTTATCTTTACCCAAACTGAAGTCTTCTCCCAATCTAGGACTCTTGTCTCTCATCCATGTTGAGTTCCCTCTTCATTCTAGGACTCTTGTCTCTTATTCACTTATTTCGGATTTTGATATCTTCAGAGATAATCTCGGCCTAACCGAGATTACCTCGGCATAACGACCAGGACATGTGGCACCTCGGCTGATACGTCGGCGTCACCTTGGCCACGTGTTGGTGCTCAGAAAATATATCCCCACAATCACATTTTCTATTATTGAATTTGTAATCCAACCCTTCAATTGAATAAAAATTGCATCTCTTAAAATAATGGGAGAAACTTTTTATATACATTTATATTTATTTGGGTTAATTACACTTTTCACCTCTATCATTTGATCTAAATTTTAATTTAATTCATATAGTTTTAAAGTGAATAATTTGATCCATATAATTTGAGTTTAATTTCAATTTGGTCATTATGTCCAAATTAAAGATTTAACTTGATTATTTTGGAACACTTGTCAATTTTCTAAGATATATATAGATAGAATTAAAAAAAATTTAGACAAAAAAAATTAAATTAAAGTATGAATTGTCCATATAGTTCTAGAATTTACATCTCACCCCTGAAGTTTAAAATTTTATAACAAATGATCCATTTTATTAATACACTAGTATATGCCCGTGCCTAAAGGCACGGTATAAATATTGTGAGAATTAAAATATAATTGTAATTTATATATTAAAAATTTATGGAGTTTGTAATATTTTTTGATACAAATATTAAAAAAAATATAAAGAAATATTATTTTGGTTATAAAGAAATATAATTTATCTAAATAACTGAAATTAATTAAATTATGTTCCATTCGGAATCACTTAATATTGTTATTAAACTCAATTGATTAAATTATTAAATTTCGTTCCTTTTAAACTCAATTGATTAAATTACATTCTTAATTACCTAATATTGTTATTATGAGAGAGTTATTTATTGTTATTATGAGAGAGTTACCGCCCAACAAAATATATATTTGTAATGAAAACATATTATATCATTTTAATATTTATGTTACAAAATTTTAGAGTGATATTACAATATACTTTGAGTGGTTTTGAGAAATTGATTAAATATTGACTTTTAAGTTTGTTTGACTTTATTGAAAAAACATATAAAAAAATAAAAAGATAATATCACCCAAAATAACTTAAAAAATTGATTTTTAACTTTTAACCAAATACCAACAGCCTTTTAGTGTAGAGTTGGTGAGCATCTGTAAGAAGCAAATCCACGTGGGGTTGCCTCACACTTTTTCCTTTATCCGATCAATCTTCTCTTTTCCTTCCCTTTTTATTTATTTTTCTTGGGAAGAGATTTCCCATCTCATGCCTCTCAGTCCATCTTTGTTAGAATAGGAATAGATTTTGCAAAACTTTCTCTTCAAAGAAAGGTACCAGTACATTTCTACGTATCATATTAAAAATAAAGTGAAGTGTGTAGTATTTTTTTAATAAAGACACTAAAAAGATATTATTTTTATTAAAGAACTTTTAATAATTTTATTTATATAACTCACCTTAGCCACAAAAAAAAAAAAAAAAGTCCTATATTTTATTGGGGGATCAAAAAATAAAATAGTGAAATAAAAAATATATATAAAAGAAATACTCCAGATAATATTATTTTAATTTGAAGGTGATAATTACTAAGTAATTTTTTTACAAGTTGGTAAAAAGTTTATTTTTTTGACTTTTTAGCCTTTTTTATTACTTTTTTTGGCAAAAAAACTGGTCTCTTTGGCTAAGAAAAATGATTTTTTTGATTAAAAAAAGTTTAAAAGTAAAAAAATTAACTCTTTTAGCTTGTTGCCAAATTGCCCCTAAATAAATTGCCCCTAAATAAAATATAATTTTTCAAACACACAAAGCACAAAAACATGACATTATTTTTTTTGGGTATGTTAACGGATCGGGTTGAGTTAAATAGTCTCCATTTACTAATCATCCGAACTTAAAGAGATTAGAAAAAATATATTTGTATGTATCTATTCAGACTATCAAAACCGTTTACTTTATAAAATTTAATGGATGTTTGTCCACCTTACTTGTTAATATATATAAGAAAAATATTATATTAGTGAATTTTTTTTAAAAAAGTTTATAAATCAAATGAAATTTTTTATAATTGTTAATAATTATAATTAATTATTTAATTATTTTTTTATGAATATGTGTTATTTTTTCTCTAAAATTTCACTTGGTGTAATTACTCTTACATTACTGTTACATTACATCCACTCAATTTATTCAGTACGAATTTAGCTGAATGAAAGTCTAAGTTAGATCAATTCAAAAATAAATTCGGTGATGAATCACTAACGTTACCCATATATATACCCTGCAAATTAGAAAGTTTTTATTCGCTCAAAATCTAGGGTTTCATTGTTCGTTGACGACAAAGGTCTGCCTATTCTTCTTCTTTCGTTCTTCTTCTTCTTCTTCCCCTTATACAGGTATACATTCTCTCTCTCTCTCTCTCCCTATATTTTGTGGTTAGGTGTTTGTTTGTGGAAGTCTTTGTGCTTGTGTTTCAATGTTTTGAGTTTTGAGTTTCAATTTTATTCATGTCAAGATTGGTCACAGTGGTTCTGTACTGGTGAATTTTTAATTTGGTGTTATTTGGATGACAAATTAACAAAATTACTGAAGTATTTGTTTAAATTCTTTATCCCCAAATCAAATCATGGAAACTTAATGTTTGTTTGCCACTTAGAAACCGAGACCAGTTGCTTTGATTGTAAAGTTAGGTTGGAAAATTAGGAAGGCTATTGATTGTCTGGGTTTAGGTGATAAACCAAATTTACCCATGGAACTTGAGATTCTGTAACATGGCTAAATGAACATAATTGATGCAGCTGAAAGTAAACTTTAGTAGAACCTATAGTAATTTTTTTTCTTTTTTTGATAAATAAACCTATAGTTAATTTTCAGTTTTTAAGAAAATTCAAAACCAACCCTAAAAAAATTTTAATATGATTTTTTTATGGCATACAAAAGTATGCCATAAAAAAATATATTTTCACGTCATACAAATATTTCCATTTAAGACGACATATATTTTATGTTGTAAAACATTATACATTTACACATCATACATTAGTATGTCGTGAAAACTTCTATTAAACAAAGTTTCAATTTGATATTTTTTTAAAATTAAAAAAAAAAAAAAGTTAACAATTTCCAGCCAAGTTTCTCACTTTAAAGTTTCCTAATTGATGACAACGTAAAAAATAATTTATAGAGTAATTTTTTTTTTTACTTAATATTTTACTCTCTATTCACATAGGCCATGTTTGTTTGGGTGGACATGAGCTTGGGATTGGACTAATAGTCCAATAAAATTATTAATCCGATGTTTGGTTAAACAATTGAAGTACGGACTAACAATCCATCTGGATATGGTATCCCACATATGATGGACTATTCAATCCCACAGAGGGGGTGGGATATAAATTGAAAGACTAACCAAAGTCTGGACTATTAGTCCTCCTTATAATCCTAACTCAAAATAAAATAGGATGCATAATCTAAAGGATTCGTAGTCCTAGGACTATTAGTCATGGGAATGTTAATCCAACCTAATCTAGTCCGCCCAAACAAACATAGCCATAGTGTCACATCTTGTAAGTTCCACACACTATCTGAGTAGGGAGTAAAATATTAAATATTAAATAAAAAATTTGATTAGCTTAACATTAATCTTTAAATGATCACTGTGTGGGTGAAAATCTGACCACACTGCAATCTTAGTATCCAGCTGAAGAGCACTGGCAGAATAGATGGCACCTGTCTAATCTGCAACAGAAAGAGAAGACTCCGGTGGTGGTTCGCCACCCAGGGGTACTCCGACGATCAAGTCAGTACTCAATATCTCTCAAAGATAAATCAATTATTCAACTCACAAGCTTGAGCATAAAAAACATACCATAGACCCATGTAGGTGCCTCTCTTTTATAGCCAATACAATCCTAGTCCCAATAGGAGCCTAGCCCTAATGGACTTAGGATTACTGCTAATTTGAGACTCCCAGTGGGATTAGGATAAACTCTCTAAGAGTCTTATCTTTACCCAAACTGAAGTCTTTTCTCAATCTAGGACTCTTGTCCCTCATCCATGTTGAGTTCCCTCTTCATTCTAGGACTCTTGTCTCTTATCCACTTATTTCGGATTTTGATATCTTCGGAGATAATCTCGGCCTAACCGAGATTACCTCGGCATAACGACCAGGACACGTGGCACCTTGGCTGACACGTCGGCGTCACCTTGGCCACGTGTTGGTGCTCAGAAAATATATCCCCACAATCACATTTTCTATTATTGAATTTGTTATCCAACCCTTCAATTGAATAAAAATTGCATCTCTTAAAATAATGGGAGAAACTTTTTATATACATTTATATTTATTTGGGTTAATTACACTTTTCACCTTTATAATTTGATCTAAATTTTAATTTAATTCCTATAGTTTTAAAGTGAACAATTTGATCCATATAATTTGAGTTTAATTTCAATTTGGTCATTATGTCCAAATTAAAGATTTAACTTGATTATTTTGGAACACTTGTCAATTTTTTAAGTTATACATAGACAGAATTAAAAAAAATTTAGACAAAAAAAATTAAATTAAAGTATGAATTGTCCATATAGTTCTAGAATTTACATCTCACTCCTGAAGTTTAAAATTTTATGACAAATGATCTATTTTATTAATAAATTATAAAGTTAATTAATAATTTTTAATGATATTAAAAATTTATTTTAAATAATAATTCAAGTATTTTTATTATTATAGCTGTTAATAATTTTATTTTTTTAATTAATTTTATTAAATAAAAAAAAAAAAAGTATATAATGGAATATTATTGGGGATTCTTCGTTACTTGAGCGAGAGAGCTCTCTCCTCCTCCTCCTCCTCCAAAACCCTAGAAAACGAACCAAACCTTCAAATCCCCTGATAGATCTTCATACATTCTTTGCATTTGAGATGAAAGTAACATAGATCTTGGATTCAAACAAGCACACGAGCACCACCATCGACCACCACCAGCCGCTGCCATTCCGAGCTTGGAGTTCGATTCCGAGCTTGGAGTTCATTTCTGATTCTAAGCCCCTTCCACGGATTCGATTAATTGGTGTTTGCATATCTATTCGATTAATTCGATTCAAAGCCTTGAATTCATGTGTTCCGATTCTCCTCTCTCATCTCTCTTTGATTTTGATTTCTAGGGTTTTCATGCCCTTATTGAATGTGTTTTCACTTCTGTGATTACTCGTTTTGGGATTGAACAAAAAGGACATCTTTGCGATCGCTTCAGTCAAAGTCTACTTCGAAGAACGTTTTGACGGTACCTTCCCTCTCTCTCTCTCGCTCTTGCTTTCTGGTTTTTACATGCTGATTTTCGCTTGCATTTCGAGATTTCTATGATTTTGCGGTGGTTTAGTAGAATGAATTGATGTTGAATTTGATATTCCTTGCTGAAGATTGACATTATGATTACGCTTGTGTTGTCGATCTGATGATCTGAACTTAACTGTTGTGATAGACTTTAATGCTTTAACTGAATTTAACGCTTGTGTTGACAATACAGTGATTGTTGCTCAATCAATCACTGTACTGTATTTGGAGAGTACTGTAACATCCAACCCAGTTATTCTATAAACCTACCTTGTTTAAAAAACTGACTCTTGAGTGAATCCAAGATCAGAGACAATGTTTTCAAGAAACTAATTCAAAAGCTGCCCATTGATTGAGTACTTGTGTGTTGAGTTCTGTAAAAACTTGCAACACATTGAGGTTTCAATTCCAAACCCCAAGTCCTTGAGGCCAGGGAGGTCGCATGCCCCTTGAGTTTTTCATATTTACACCATTTCCCTTATATTGTGGATTTTTTCTTTTCTTTTCAATGATGTGTAATATGTGCCCCTTCTGCCTTGAATTTCTGACTCCGCTACTGATAGTTCATTTTGACTTTTTCGTCCATTCTATATTTTTTGGTAAGACTATACAAACACAAATTATAGAGAATTAATCAGTGTGCTTGGTTTGAGTTTTCTGGATTAAGTTTTTTGAAAACTGAGTTTTTTGATTTTCGTATTCTTTTGTTTTTAGTTAATATTTTTTAAATTTTAAGCATTTTTTTTTACTTTTTTAGATGCACCTTAATTAGATTAGATGTATCTAAAAAGTAAAAAAATTATGAATAAATATTTTAAAAAATTAATAAATACATAAAAATACAAAAAATGTACTGAATTCTTGCATTTTTTTTTGTATTTTTGGTATTTCGTGAATTTTTAAAAGATTTCTTTTACAATTTTTTAACTTTTTAGGTGTATTTATGTTAGGTGTGTCTAAAAAGTTAAAAAAATTGCTTAAAATATTAAAAAAATTTAGTAAAAACAAAAAAACACGGAAAATAAGAAAGTAAAATTTTTTGAAAAGTGTTTTCTTAAAAATGAAAACAAGCAAGCAGATGATATGGTTTAATTAGGGCCATTCATTTCAAAATAAATCAACTCTTACAATAATTTGGGAAGTAAAGTGTACAGAAATTTGTGTGTGGTAGGGATCATATCCAAATAAATTTGGAAAACAGCATTCCTTAGGTCCTTAATTTCCATAAGAGCAATGATATGAAGAATTCACATATAGAATTATGTGATTTTTACGTTGTGTTTAGATCATAATTGTATTTGGAACATAGATTTGTGTAAGAATTTACAAAAAGAAGGAAAAAAATGGAGAAAAAAATTTAAACTTATATTTCATTCACATTATGCTTACTTATTTTCTTTTATTTTTTAAATTTTTATCTAAATTTATAATTCATACACAACCTATAATTATTTTTCTTTAAAACTAAAATACCAATCATTGTGGCTCAAACTTTAAAATAAGCCAGCACAAATTGTGGTTCAAGTTCTAAAATAAGCACAGTAACATCAATCTGGATGGATTTTTTGTTCAAAAATTCTACTTGTGAATTTTTTTTTTTTTTTATTTAAAAAATGTTACATTGTTCTGTTTAACTTCTCTATAAAAATACTCCTTTTTTTTTTTTTGTTCCTTATAACATATACAATTATATTTGGGTCTTCTCGTTTCAAACCAAAAGACCATTCAAGGTGACGAATTGTTTCAAAAATATCATATATAAAATCTGCAAGAATAATCTGTTTTTTGTTTTTTATTTTTATTTTGGGGTCATGTTGTATATGTTTTTTATTAGTTATGATTTTCTTGTCATGTGACTTTTCGAAGGCCATAGGGTGTGTTTGGTTTGTTTATGAGAGAGTGATTTTCAAAAAAAATTTGGGAGAGAGAGTTTAGAATTTTTTTTGGTTTGTTTGGTTGTAGATTTTGAAAATAGTTTTGGAGTTTGGGAGTTTGAGATGATTTGATATTTTATTGTAATTGAGTAGATGTGTGTGAGAGAAAAAGTTATTAAAAAAGAGAGAGGAGAGAGAAAAAATAATTGATTGATGTGTAAAAGAGAGTGATTTTGGAAATTTTTTAAGAAAAACCACAAACCAAAAAAAATTTTGAATTTTTTTTTCAAAAATAACTCTCCCAAAAGAAAACCAAACAAGCCCATAATTTTTCCTGGAGAATTGAGTGTAACTTGCTCCCTCCACTACCTGCTTTGAAGCATTTGAAGTTAGAGATAATAAGTGCATTATCAACCACTTGTTCAACAATTGTGGATGGCTTGGTTTGGATTTTTCCTGGTTTAGAGACCCTAACCATAAAGTCTGCTTCTACCAATAAGCTCATTAAGGTAAGGAAATATGACCTCTTGCGTACATGACAAACTTCATTTGATGGAGTGCTTAGTCATTTGTTTTGTTAATTACAGTTCTTCCAACATTTTTCGGAGAATGTATACAGAGCCTTGTAAGCTAGCACAATTGGGTTTTGTTAATTACAGTTCTTCCAACATTTCTCATGTTCAATACAGAGGACAATCTTGCTTTTTGGCATTGTTCTGTGATATCTTTCAGGTCTTATTACGTTTTGCTGTCTTGTATGATGTTTCATTTTAGAGTAGATTTTTTTAGAGATTTGCTTAAGTTTTTGTGAAACTTGATGAAGATAAGGGAAGGATTGTGCAACGAAAGAGAGAACAGGATTTGAGAAATATACTGCAATGCACAAAACACCAGTGTTCTGTGTCACTATTAGATGGGAATTAACCACTAGTACATTTATGTATTGAAGATGAGGGTTTCTCCTTTGTTAGGGTACCCACTTATTGGAGAGGCATATATCTTCCTGTTTGCACAAAATGACTTGAGCAGGTGTCTAGGTGATATTGTCTGGCTTAATGTTCCAAGCCAGTTTGTCAATGACATTTGAAGTGAATTAACCTGGTTCCATAATTCATGGCGGTGATTGAAATTTCTCATTGATGGTTCAATGAAAGTATTAGAGCTAGCTAGAACAGGATAACATTTTCCATTCTACTTTCTTTTCAACCTGTTCCTACATTATCTTTGGAAGCACCATTGATCTTTTACAAGCCGTTTCTTACCCCAATATTTTAAATTAACTACTTGATGTGTCGTGCTCTACCAAACTTCCTTTAAGCCTTCAATCAGTGGCATATCTTATCTCCTTGCAGCTTAATGGATTGTCTATCTAGGAATTGTCTGAATGCAATCTTGCCCTTATTCGTGACAATTGCATAACTCAAAGCCCATATTGCTTGTGTCACAGGGATGTTGAGGTTTTTTCTATTTATAGGCACCAATATCGAAAAGTTAAACTAATCTTTCTTCACTCAACTTCATTTTTTATTTATTTATTTTTATTTATTGTATCTCATTCACATTAGCTTAATTGTAAATAGAATTTGCATGGATTAGGATATAAAGTATAGCTGAAATATTGTCCTTTCTTTTATAATCATTTTTGTGGAATGGTTGGTTGGCTGCTTGGTAGTTTGTTGATGTAAAACACAGGTCAATCTCAAGAAAACGTTATACTATAATGTTGTAAATGTATATATCAAATACTATTTGGTCCTGAATTTCTCCATTATTCATTTCACAAATTGTTTGTCATTGTCTTTAATATTAATTTTCTTTGTTTAGGAAGGACTGTGATGGATCAAAACAAATTCAGATGGGGTTTAAGAGTAGGTCCATTCTGGTTTTGTTTTCTTTATTCTCATTTGTAACTTTTTACGGCATATCAAATTATGTCATGAAAAGTGTAATAATTTATGACATGCAAGAAAATGCTGCAAAATATTATATACGGCATACAAAGTATGTCATAAATATATTAAAAATGACCTTCTACGGCATACAAAATTATGTCGTGAAAAGTGATGATTTATAACATGCAATAAAATACCGTAAAATATTATATACGGCATACAAAGTATGCAATAAATATATTAAAAATAAATTTTTACGGCATGCAAAATTATGCCATGGAAAGTATGATGATTTATGGCATGACAAAAATGTCGTAAAAAATTATATACGATAGACAAAGTATGTCATTAATGTTTAATTCATTACTCTTTACAACTTAACTTGCATCCCGTAAATGATGCTTAACTTTCTACGGCATGTCATATAACGTTATTTGTGTGCATGCTGTGAAAGAGTTTTTACGGCATGCATTGCAAGCCGTAAAAATTCAATTTTGTTGTAATGTTACAAACATCACATTCGATTATAAAAAAAATACATTCCTCTTCCCAAATATAAATATTTTAATCTACTAAAATAGTCAAAAATTAAAGTAACATACTAAAATGGATAGCTTTTTAGAGTAATGTTAGAAATTTCAAAAGTTCTATCAAAATTTCTATCAAATGTCTTATATTAGGTGTAGGACTCACACCATGTGGGTCTCGCACTCATGTAAGACATTTAATAAAAATTTTAGTAGAATTTTTAAAATCTCTAATATTTTTGCACTTTTTAAATCAGACCTTAGTTGTGGGAATTTAAATAAAAAAATAAATGCATGGACAAATATAATTTGTTAAAAAATTATCATAGCTATAATAATGAGTACGTGCTACATCGCTGGTTGTTGCAGTACTTGGAGGTTTTAAAAAGTATATATTTCCAATATAAAAAAGAGATCAACAAATCTATTAAAGGACAAACCAATGAACTAAAGAAATTACTGTCCAAGGTTGACGTCTCACGGTGGTTGATTTCTTGTCCTAGTAGAGATGTTCCGATTATCCTCAACATCATAAAAGAGAGGATAATTATAGAAGACATTTGGGAGTTCACACGGAACAAACCACCACAAAGATTTGATTCAAGATTTTCTCCAACAAACTATCATAAACTCAATATTGGAGTTATTGAACAAGATAGAGAAATTTTGACTTGTGCTTTACTACGGGATGAAAACTTGGGGGTAGTTAGCTATCAGTATAGTAACAAGGGCAAGATAGATATCAAGAAAGCCCAATTGGAGGTATTCATCGAGGGCATGTTAATGGTGCTCTCTCACAAGGAGAGTGAGATTAGTTTGTTGATTGTAGAGATGACGGACAAAGAAGTGGTCAAGCAAATAAATTCGGATATGCTGGTTGATTTTTCCTTATTTGATAAGCTTCAGTAAGTATTTTATATTGAATATTATTTTATTACTATTATTTTTATTAATATCAGGTTATTTATTGAGTTTTATTTGTTTTACAGTTTGGCAAACTGTTTAAAACGTTGTTTCAAGGATGTGGAACTAGTATGGGTTCCTCGATAGATGAACAAGGCTGCTGAAAAAGCTTCCACACATGTTAAAGCAACTTTTTGATCTTCTAAGGTCTTGGATGTAGAGATCGTAGCCATAAATGACATTCTTGACAATGACAAAGGAATGCTGGTAGCATATGATGTTGATGAATAAAGCAAGCTACAGTTATAGCTCCCTTGGTCTCCTCTGAAATTGGAGCTGGAAGTAGAAGATACCTTCTAAATGAAGCTCAAGCAACCTTAACTGTTCATTTTGTTAGTTTATATGTTTGCATTATATATAGTAAAAAATTTAAATCGATTCGATAATCAAAATCTTATGATTTCAGTCGTTTCAAAATCGAATTTTTTTAGCCGTTTCAAGCAACCTTAACTGTTTTTTTTTTTTATATCCGATTTTGAAACGGCTGAAATCATATGATTTTGATTATCGATGTAAAATTTTTTACTATATATAATGCAAACATATAAACTAAGAAAATGAACAGTTAAGGTTGCTTGAGTTTCATTTAGAAGGTAACTTCTATTTCCAGCTCCAATTTCAGAGGTGACCAAGGGAGATATAACTGCAGCTTGCTCTATTGATCAACATCATATGCTACCAGCATTGCTTTGTTATTGTCAAGAATGTCATTTATGGCTACGATGTAGACCTTAGAAGACCAAAAAGTTGCTTTAACATGTGTGGAAGCTTTTTCAACAGCCTTGTTCATCTATCGAGGAACCCATACCAGTTCCACATCCTTGAAACAACGTTTTAAACAATTTGTCAAACTGTAAAACAAATAAAACTCAATAAATAGCATGATATTAATGAAAATAATAGTAATAAAATAATATTCAATATAAAATAATATTCGATATAAAATACTTACTGAAGCTTATCAAATAAGGAAGAATCAACTAGCATATGCGAATTTATTTGCTTGACTAATTTGTCCGTCATCTCTACAATCAACAAACTAATCTCACTCTCCTTGTGAGAGAGCACCATTAACATGCCCTCGATGAATACCTCCAATTAGGCTTTCTTGATATCTATTTTGCCCTTGTTACTATATTGATAGCTAACTACCCCCAAGTTTTCATCCCGTAGTAAAGCACAAGTCAAAATTTCTCCATCTTGTTCAATAACTCCAATATTGAGTTTATGATAGTTTGTTGGAAAAAATCTTGAATCAAATCTTTGTGGTGGTTTGTTCCGTGTGAACTCATCTATAATTATTTTCTCTTTTATGATGTTGAGGATAATCGGAACATCTCCACTAGGACAAGAAATCAACCATCGTGAGACGTCAGCATTGGACTCTAATTTCTTTGGTTCATTGGTTTGTCCTTTAATAGATTTGTTGATCTCTTTTTTATATTAGAAGTATATACTTTTTAAAACCTCCAAGTACTGCAACAACCAGCGATGTAGCACGTACTCATTATTATAGCTATGATAATTTTTTAACAAATTATATTTGTCCATGCATTTATTTTTTTATTTAAATTCCCACAACTAAGGTCTGATTTAAAAAGTGCAAAAATGTTAGAGATTTAAAAAATTCTACTAAAATTTTTATTAAATGTCTTACATGAGTGCGGGACCCAAATGGTGTGAGTCCTACACCTATATAAGACATTTGATAGAAATTTTGATAGAACTTTTGAAATTTCTAACATTACTCTAAAAAGCTATCCATTTTAGTATGTTACTTTAATTTTTGACTATTTTAGTAGATTAAAATATGTATATTGGGGAAGAGGAATGTATTTTTTTTTATAATTGAATGTGATGTTTGTAACACAACAAAATTGAATTTTTACGGCTTGCAATGCATGCCGTAAAAACTCTTTCACGGCATGCACACAAATAACATTATATGACATACCGTAGAAAGTTGAGCATCATTTACGGGATGCAGGTAAAGTTGTAAAGAGTAATGAATTAAACATTAATGACATACTTTGTCTATCGTATATAATTTTTTACGACATTTTTGTCATGCCATAAATCATCATACTTTCCATGGCATAATTTTGCATGCTGTAAAAATTTATTTTTAATATATTTATTGCATACTTTGTATGCCGTATATAATATTTTACGGTATTTTCTTGCATGTTATAAATCATCACTTTTCACGACATAATTTTGTATGCCGTAGAAGGTCATTTTTAATATATTTATGACATACTTTGTATGACGTATATAATCTTTTACGGCATTTTCTTGCATGTTATAAATTATTGCACTTTTCATGATATCTATCTTGCCCTTGTTACTATACTGATAGCTAACTACTCCCAAGTTTTCATCTCGTAGTAAAGCACAAGTCAAAATTTCTCCATCTTGTTCAATAACTCCAATATTGAGTTTATGATAGTTTGTTGGAAGCAAACTCGAAACAAATCTTTGTGGTGGTTTGTTCCCGTGAACTTTCAAGTGTCTTCTATAATTATCCTCTTTTTTATGATGTTGAGGATAATCGGAACATCTCCACTAGGACAAGAAATCAACCACCGTGAGACGTCAGCCTTGGACAGTAATTTCTTTGGTTCATTGGTTTGTCCTTCAATAGATTTGTTGATCTCTTTTTTATATTGGAAGTATATACTTTTTAAAATCTCCAAGTACTGCACAAAAAATAAATAAATTAAACAACCCAAAGCTGCATGAAAAAATTATGATGCACAATATCATCTTAATAACAAACAACACAATAAAAAATATTTCGGCACTACAAGCTCCAAGTACTTCTTGTATTTTATTTACATCAATAAAACTTCTTTTGCCAATAAAAAAACAATATATTTGATGTTTCTTTTGCCAATATATCTTCAAATCAAAATTTATATTTGATGACCTCATCAAATTGTTGGGCCGGCCCAGCCGACAAGACTATATCTTGTGAGTGATAATGCAACAAATGTTTGCCCTTTTTGCAAAAGATCTAGTAATCATGTTCTGCTTCTGTGTTATGGAGTATGACAGGCATGGTCTGACTTGTTAAATTGGTGGAATCTTTAGTGGGTTCCGCCTAGGACAGTTGAAGGTGTGCTCTAGTGGTGGTTTGGAGTTGAGCTTGGCAAAATGGAATTGAAAATTTGGAGAGCTGTACTTGCTATTTTGTCCTGGTCAGTTCAGAAACTCAGGAATGATTGTGTGTTTAGTGCTCAGTTTACTAGTGAGGAGTTGAGTGAAGTTGTGATGACTAGAATTGCTCTTTGTACAAAATCCTATTTAAAGGGGCTGTCTTATTCAGCTCAGGATCTGATCTCTAATCTCAGTCAGGTTAGGCAGTGCATTGGTGGAGGATTTAGAGGCGAGGGAATTGCTTAGTGGCTATTACTGGTTTGCTGGTTCGCTGGTTCGCTTGGTGGTTGCTCTTGCTTATTGGTTGCCTTTGTTGTTGTTGTTTGTTTTAGCCTCTATTTGTGGTTGTCTTCTTTGTTTGTTGGTCTCTCACCCACTTTGGGCAGGAGCAAGCAAATGATTGGGTGATATTCCCAGTGCCAACCTAGTTTGGATTTGAAATTCCATTTTGATGCTTTTTGCTCTTGCCTTCCTTTTTATTGATGTATACTCGTATGTATTGTATGTTTATTTTATTCAATAATTTTTTTTTGATAAGAAAAAAAGAAAAGTTGTATGAACATTAACAGAAAAGCAAAAGTCACAGACCAAATCTTGTTCAAATTAATGCCTTGGTACTTTGGCAGTATCCTCGCTCCCTAGAGCAGCCATGCAATATCTAAGGCCACCTGTTCTTTTGACATTTGTCACAGTGCGTCGAATAAATTGAAAAGAATTGAGCGTGCCACATAGGGAACGAAAAAGGACATATCAAGAGGGGAGAGATGCAAGAATTGTAGATATATATCAGTTGAGAATAATCCATCAATGAAAAAAGGAAATGAAAAAGAATCTATGGCCAGAAATGAAAACAAATATGTTATTCCCTTTTTTAGATCAGGAAAAAGAAAGTATATAAATGAAAAATCAACACGAGAAAAAGAATTGAGTTTGGGAGGGGGTGTTAAGAATTGAATTAGGCCTCGTTTGGCAAGAGGCTATTTTAGCCAATTAGCCAAAAAGTTACTAAATTAGCCAAAAAGCCAACAACTCATACCAAAAAGTCAAAGATTCTCTTTTCTCTCTACTTTTTGCACATTTTTTCCTAATTAGCCAAAAAGTCATCCCAAAAATCAACACGAGAAAAAGAATTGAGTTTGGGAGGGGGTGTTAAGAATTGAATTAGTCTTGGATTTTCAAGAAATGCAACCAACAATGATTAACTAGCATTTGAGACTTCTTTTATGTTTTAAATGAACCATCCTAAGTATCATTAACTCTTCTTTGATGCTAGAAACGCAACCACCACTAGGAGTACTATATTAGCTCATTCTTGCCGAATATATGCTTTGATAGTGTCACCCTCTATCTCAAAAAATTCAAGCAGCACTAATACGGATGTAAATGCGGCCTTCTTCTCCTTGCCTGACTGATGTGGGTTTGTACTCATCACAAATTAGTGTTTCCAACTTACTTAAGATATATTGGTGGATAGATATGCGTCCATTTGAAGTAGAACCATCTATGATATGAGACATGAGTAGAGCCACTTCTTCCCTAGCAGTCATCAGAAGAATAGCCAGTTCTACAAGATTTCCTTCCTTCGCACAGTGACAAATTTCTAGCTCAACTTCTTTGGTGTTCAATACAAGCACCCTGATAGAATCATTTGCTTTTTTTGCAGGAATGTTAATGTTCAAGATTAGTAAGCTTCTCAAAATTTCTCATCAATGCCATCACACAATTTTTTGAACTATTAAAAGGGTAAAACATTAATTCTTTGGCAAACAATTTGAGCGAAAATGCAGTCAAATGATTAGAGAGAGAGGGGGGGGGGGGAAACCTCTATGACCATGCTCAGCCCTAAAAGCAAATCAAAGAAAGGTTTTCTAGGATTCCACTCCTCAAAAAATATTGATGACCTGGAAAACAGAGTTCTGGCCAAAAGAAAAAAAAAATATATCTACTGTAAATGTCCTCCTCCCCCTGGAAAAGGTAACAAAAAGTTTTGAATGGAGATAAGTAGATAATAAATATTATCGTAGTTCCATTCGATATTTGATTCAACAGTTGTATTTACTGGCAGCTTCCCTTCTAGGTACGAAAAAAAATTGTCCAACACCATAACACCTCTGATCAAATGAAGCTCCACGGCGAATAAATAGCTCCATAAAGTCATAGTTACAAGTATGAGTCGGTGTATGCATCATGGGCCATCCAAATCAGTGCTGTAGAAATCAACCGTCTGACTGGTCTCTCCTTGAAGCAAAGTAGCAGCACATTTAACGGCTCCATATTAAAAAATCCATTCCCAGTGCACCAGCAGGACCACATCAGCTCTATATTATGGGGATTAATTTTGGAAACAAATTTATACTTATCATCATCAATGATTATACCCCAAAGTTTGTAGTCCTCTTTTGGACAGCCGTCAAGCCCTAAATCAAAATTATCGCTACATCTCTGCTAATGTGGACATAATTGAAAGACTAGATCACATTTCAATTTCAACGATGTAAAACAAAACTTCATAATTGTACAGTGAGATAGGCGGAAAATAGGAAAAAAAAGAAGAAAAGCGATGATATATGCGGACTATGAATGATAGAGCACTTAGCATACCTCATCATTCAAACCCATCAACACTTGCTAAAATTCAAACTCGTCACAAATGCCTATCATTATGTTTGCACTACATTTTATTTTTTTGTCTTTTGTGACCTATTAGTTTTGGCCAAGTTCGATTATGGTTTGTTGATTAAAATTATAAATTATTTTTAAAGAATAACCTTGGCCACATTTGTTTTTATTATTTCTGTTGACATATATGCTAATATGGAGTGACAAGTATGCTAGTTAAGTGGTATAGAAGAGATGATGATGTGGCTCGAAGAGATTAAATAAAGCCAATAAAGATATTTGTTAAAATCAATGAGAAACCATATGCTAAAATCGGGAGAATCAATATCTAGTCAAAATACAAAATCTGCAAGTAGTTCCTATGAAGATATGGGATATGGTTGAGTGGGGCAAAGATCAAGGAAGATCATGTATTGATAACTATAACATGAGATGGCTAAGCAAGTATAAAATGAGGACTTAAAGAATGAAAAAATGGATCTCTCAATCATCAAACACTCGCCAAGAGTTTATCTAGGAGTAGTTTAACTTAGCATTGTTAGGCATAGATTAGTGATAGCTTTTTCCAACCCCCCACTTCTCTTCTTTCTGTCAATCATTGTATTTTTCGTTTCTTTGTTCTTGTTTAAGTTCGTGTAACTAATAGCAAGTGACAATTTGATCGAATAAATATATATTCTGTTTTGTTCCATTTCTTCTTCATTTAATTACCTCCAGGGAAGTCCTTAATCTGTTTAAGGCATAGAACTCAATCACAAATCCTGATTTTTATTTGTGTGTAGCGCCCCCAAAATAATAAAATAAAGGTAACTCATATGCGGAAGAAATATGAGAAACAACATACATTCATACATCAGAGTTCACTATTTAGCAAACAATTAAATGCTATGAAGGCTTACATCTTTCCAAGTCATTACTTGGTTACACGAATAGAGTCTCGCTCTTTACAACTTAAGCCCTTGGCTTTACAAATAACAAACATGCACACATCAAGCATAAATATGAAGCTTTTGCTTCCCAAAAGTCCATCCATGTTATTGCCTTGGAGGTAACACCTCAACTGCACCTGAAAATGATATTCCCGTATAGGGTGAGCCAACAATCCAGTAGAGATAATCTAACACAATATATGAAGTTTAGCAAATGTATAAATCCCACATACATAAACAATACCGATATGGAAGCATCCACAAGCCCGCATATTCATATGCCACTAAGACCAATATTATTCCATTTTTCTTCAATTCATTTCTAGTTCATATATATACTACTCAATTCATGACTTAAATTCATTATCTTTCAACAACCAAAATGAGATTACAACTCAATGGTTTTCCAACTATGCAAAATACACATAAACATTTCAAACTTTGTCATTTTACTGATGTTTCGTCCGCGGGAACCGGCACCCATTTATATATATACTTTCGGATCTTTCACCCAGGACACTCCGGCCAACTTGCTTTAAATGGAGTCCATCCCTTTCTCCTCCCAAACAAATATACATATGCAATGTATTTATAATCATAATCACATATGGAGTACATCCCTTATCTCCTCCCAATAAACATACATATACAAAGTATTTATAACATGATCATATTCAATGACACCAACAATAGATTAGCATTAAATCGCCTAATCCTTATACAATTTTTACAACAATCATGACTATCCTCCACTGATAACCCAATACATTTATCTCTAGACATATATTAAATCTCAAGATAAATAATTATTTAAAACTTCCAAAGGTGTGAGATATTACATATCCAATTTCACCACCTACATCAATAACCATCCAATTTAACATATTCAATGCTAATTCTAATTATTTATACAAAATAATCATTTTATCAAATTAGGGCAAAAATCCCCTTTTTCCAATATTGATCCAAACACTCAAAATCAACTATTTTGGTACACCAAGATCGTATATTCAAACCTCATACTCATTTATCTCTCATACATCAAAAACCCCTCTTTTCCTTTCACACCCAAATCTTAGATTTACCCAAATCTTAGATTTGTCAAAACCACAACCAAATCTCATCATCTATCCATACCTCATCATTCAAACCCATCAACACTTGCTAGCTAGGAATCTTCATTCCAGATTTGTCCAAACCACAACCAAATCTCATCATCTATCCATAATAGTAAATAACTAAGCTAAAAACCATATTAGAGTGCAGAAAATCCTTACCTCAAGTATTGAAGAAGAATAGAAATGAAACCCCAAAATTTACGGTGTCGAAACTCGACCTCCACCACACACAACGAAGCCCTCGAGAAGTTATACAACTTTGGTGAAGAACGTAGGTCTAAAACCCAATGGATTTGAAGAAATCAAAGAGAGAAGATGGTTTCTAGAGAGAGAGGCTCTAGATCTGGATCTTGGAGACTTTTAGAGAGAGAGAGGATTGCAAAAAGTGATCTGAAATGTCACTTTCGCGTGCTGATAAAAGGTGGTCCACTCGAGTGTGGAAAGTCCTGCTCGAGCGTAAGACATAGACTCCCGCTCGAGCGTGAAACCCTGCACTCGAGCGTGAAATACGCTCTCCCAGTATTTTTTTGCAGACACAGTCCCCGCTTGAGCGCCTGAATTCCCGCTCAAGCGTGGAACAAAATTTGTGAAGTCCGCTCAAGCGCATAAACGGCTGCTCGAGCGGACAAGCAATTTTGAATGCATTTTTCCTTTTTGCTTCGAGGGGCGCTGCCCCTCGACCCCGCCTAGGCGCTGCCCCGGATTCGTCAAGGGACGCTGCCCTCTGGACCCTCGCGAGCTAACCAGGTAGCTTGACCCCCGACCGGCCCAATCAAAATGGCAAAACGTGACAGAAGGATCGAAAC